CAGAAACCAATTTAGGGGTAAGAAGCATATATAAGCACCAGAACTGCTTCTGTTTAGTTTTGTGCTTTCCCCTCCCAACTTACCCACTGAATTTTGGTGGAGATAAACAAAGGATTTTATCAATATTAGCAAATGAATGGCAATCAAGCAGGATCTTCAGGAGAATATCAAGTAAAATCTAAAACGCTAGAATGAGCACTTTTTTCTTTTGATTTATTTAAACTGTTTTATGGTTTATTATGCCAATCCTATTAGTACAACATATTGATTATGTTTGTACAGCTTTGCCAGCCATTGGGGTAACCAGATGTTACTTACTTAAACTTCCATCATTTTGCACAAGAAAACTACTTAATTATGCCTTGAAGATGTTCAACAAAATTATTGTATTAGAACAATGCATTTCATTTAATGTGTTGCTATATCAACTACTTGAATTCCAACATTAGTACCATATGTAATAAATAAAATGCATCCCATTAAACTCAGAGTCTTATCAGGTTAATAACTGAAGAATCAAAGACGGACTTCTTTGAAAGTATTTGCATTCCAGATGCCATTATCCTTATTCCAGGATTTCATCTCAGGGTAAGGGGTTTTCATTCTTCAAATGTCATCACTATTAAATAGCTGTCTTAATTTCCACAAAAATGATGAATATCAAAGACTAATTCCAGTTCTTCTAAATTATCTAAGGTTTCAGGAATGTAGCTGTTTAATCTGAACACCTTCATTGGAGTCATTGTGAGACAGAAAAATCAAGTTTCGCATTGTTTTGTTATTATAACATGTATGTGTATGCAAGACATACACACACAGATGCACTTACACAATATGAACCTAACAATTTAAAGCTTGCCAGGCTCACTTAGTGAATGCTAAATTTTCCATATGACAGTTTCTGTATTTTCTGATGCACTCTACAGTATTTGAGGATCTGCCAATGCATCTGAATTTATTTTGAATGACAGCACATCTGCCAAATTTCCTAGTTGATTTACTCTATGGACAACATTTTTAATTAGCATTCAATACATGCATCTGCAGCCTAGATGAATTGACAATGTCTATTGGGTACAAAAGTATTTTTGGCTTTAAACCTGCAATGATAATATAATTAATTCACATTGTTATGAGACACATGTGTGATAATAATGTTAATGTGCACACAACAGAACTAGTGTTTCCTATTAAAAAGTTATTTTATTAATTGCTGGGTGTTAAATTGAGAAATAATATCTAATAATATCTAATTTCTTTTTTTCCTGACATGTGCATAAAATACAATAAATCCTCAATTTAACCAACCATTTGGGGGAGGATGTGTCCATTACTATGCCCATTATCTTTGCATCAACTACATAATTTGCGTCATCATGTACTGACACACTTGGTATTATGCAAATGATGGAAATTGAAGGAAATTGAGGGAAATAATGCAAATTCCTTAATTTATGGGTGGTATCTGAATAGAAAATTTGTCGGCTATATCCAAAGTCTTCTGAATTAATAGCAGTGGAGCAACTAAAAAATAAAACATATAAAAACATATTGAAAAGACATTAGAGGTGCTACCAGGTAATCTGGAGAACTGAGAAGACCTTTTGCTGTAATAATTTTCAGATAACAAAGGATACCACAAAGAGACCTGGATAGATATTAATAATTCTAAAATATCCTCTTCCAACCAGGATTCTGAAGTAAACCTTAAAAAAAGACATTCTGAGAATCCAAACTGATACAATAATAATGTCCAGCAACAAAAGCAGCTGTGATTTGAGCCAACCAGTGCCTTTTTATTTATTTATTTTTAAATGTTAGGAGATTAAGAATTAATTAATTAAACAATTTTACAACAATTAATTAAACAATTAAGAAGATGAAAAGAAAGGAAAATAAGTAAAAAGAAATTAGAAACAATAGAAGATTAGATTAAAAGTTTAAAGTACTATTAATTAGTGCTGGAAATAAAAGTATCTTGTATCAGTTTAACACTTCAGAACTTTATTAAAATTAAGTCAATATTCAATAATTAACAACAATAGCCAGTAAAATGTAAGTCAGAATGAAGAATGGAGAATTAGCAAAAATTTCTATCTAATCTAAGAACTGTGTTCTTATTTAATGAACCAAGTCAAAGCTTGGATATTGAAGCCTAAGGTTAAGAGAAACCCTAACATCAGATGTAGCACAAGTCTATCTGTAGAACTGTAACACATAATTGGTTTCCAGGTTAAAATAATTTTTTTGACATTGCTGCATACTTCCACAGCTTAATTTGTCATTCTTCTAGAGAAGGATTGAACCAGCTGGTTTCTTTAATCAACCAACTAACTCTCCTTTAACCTGTACCTGCAACATCTCTCTGTGTTTCCACTTTTGCCCTATGACTTGCCTGGTACTTGAGAGTAAGCTGACTCTTTGGAATCTTTATTCGGTCCTAATAATGATGCTGTGGTACTGTTTCTACCATACAAAGACAAATAAGCTTCAGATATTAAATGGCCAGTTGAATAAAGCTGATGTTATGTGTTTATGGTTACTGTTTTTCTTCTAGGAAATTATTTGCTAGACCAGCTCATTTGTACAGTGGGGGGGGGGGGGGGGGCG